CCCTCATAAGGCCTTCGTTTATCCCCCTGGTGCCGGTAGGGGTGGGCGATATGAGCAAAAATTCATATCACGATATTTTTCACTGTCCGGACGATATCGATATTATATCGCGATATGAGAAAAAAAATTGGAATCACATTTTAGTACACCTTAGTTAAATTACAGGCAAAATATGTATTGTAACAGTAGATAACTAGAAACAGGTGAGGCATTTCATTGGACATAGACCTTAAATGTTTTTTGTTTTTTTTGTGCCATTTTTTTCCTCAAAAAGTGCAAACGTGCAACATGAGGTAGGCCTGAATGCACTTGTTATGTCTTTCCACTTTTTGCTCGTCTTGTCATAATGAGAACCGGCAGCGAATGAAGACTTTATTGATTTCTGAGTGAGAGCCGTCTTCGGGTGTGCTCTGTCTCCGGGAATATCTGTTGTTATAGTTTTGCTTTTTTAAATTAGTTTTTATTTTAATATCGTTTTCAATTTTGCTTTAAATTTCAGTTTAGTTTTAGCTAGTTTCATTAATGGTTTTGTTAGTTTTTATTTAGTTTTATTTTGCAAAGACATTTCTATATAGTTTTTATTTTATTTAGTTTCAGTTTTAGTAATTATAGTTTAGCTTTAGCAGAGCGAGCAGAACACTTCCAGTGTAGACCAAAGCGAGACGTTTCATTTAAGTTTAATGTTTGCACAGATTACAGTTAACTCTTAAGCAGACATCTTAATAATAAAAATAAAATTATGGTTTGAGATTGAACAAAGCACCAAATAAATAGAACTTAAAAGTATACAAGAAAAAAACAATGAAAATTTTCATACAAACTATTTAATTAGTGTAAGGAGACAGAATAAAGGCCTACAGTTTGTACAGTATAAAACCCATTACGTCTATGGAGAGTCCCCACAAAGATAGTGGACCAGTGTGTGTGTTGTGGCGGATTTAGCAAATTGGGGGCCCAAAGCGAAGGTACGTATGGGGGCCCCCCATATCATCTTTAGCAGAACGGAAAAAAAAAAATTACAGACTGAATGGTAGGAAAAGCTAATCTACGGGGAAGTAAAGGTTGGAGAGGAGAAAAAAAACCTTCCCCAACAGAGAATAAGGTTTCAGATAACACCTGTCTTTGCCAAAATGCCAGGAAACCCAGCACTGTTTATTCTTTTTTTAAGATCAAATCAATATCAATATAACCAGCAAGACAAGTAGTTAGGGTAAACCCCCTCAAACAGCCATATTAGCAAATATTGCCAAGATTAATAGTAGACTTTGTATGAGTGAGTGAGGTTGCAATTGGCATTGCACTTGAGATTGACATTTCAAACATTCTACAAACAAACATTTGTATAGGTTTGTATTAGTTTATATATTTTATAATGTAATAATTTCACAGTTAATCTACAAATGAATGTAGAGACAACATAAAGACAGTATATTTTAAATACTTGTTTAATGGCATCTTTTTATGAAAGAAGGTCGATATCACTGATACTAATACAGCTATTGATGTCTGGATAGAAAATATTTTTTCCCCTAATTTTAAACATTAATTATAGCCATCCAACATTACAGTGTACAAAAAATTTACATTTTGTTAGGCTTCAAAAAATATATAACAACTTTTAATTTACGTGAACTTAAAACAATCATCAGATAAACCCATAATAAATGTCATATTTACTTTTGCCCTTTCAGTCTTAGTATAACTTACACGTCCTCCTCAACTAGCGGCACAGCTGCTGCTGTAGCGGCATGTATCCCCAACAGTAGGCGTAAAAAGGTTTGTCATTTTTGGCAGCGTTGCCAAATACATATCGGCGTCTTTTGTCTTTTTTTCTTTTATTTGAGCCGCTTGGGTAACTTCGTTTCATTTTCGCGTTTAGACTCGTCTTGCTTCGTTGTCCTACTTCCCAGTCCTCCTGTCATGTTTATCTTTCGCGGTTTCGCGCCGCGCGCCGGTCGGACTAGTCCATTTTATTGCGAAAGTAGGGGGTGTTATGTGTAGGGACAGATAACCATGAACTGGACATTTTAACTACTACTTCAACATTTCAACGTATTTCTTAAGAATATTAATAACATTTACTATGCTTTTGAAGCGTTCATGAGGATAAGGGGCTTTTTCTTTTCTTTTATATATATATTTTTTGAGGTTGGTTGGGGGGCCCCCCTACTACGACCGCTGGTAGGGGGCCCCAAGCAGCCGCCTACCTATGCCTCTGTTAAGACCGCCACTGTGTATGCTCGCGCTTATGTGTGTGTCGTGTGTATGCGGGCGCTTATGTGTGTGTCGTGTGTATGCGGGCGCTTATGTGTGTGTCGTGTCCTGTTATTCATAGCCTAACGTTACATTGCGGGGAAATGTCTCCACGTGGATAAAATTATTAGCAGTAAATGCTTTGTAAAAACAAAGATAATAATAGCAGCTTTCAACCTTCATGAAAACATGACATCTCAAACATACAGAAGCCACAAAAAAACTTTAAAGTTTTTTTGTGCTTGAGGCACTTGTTTTGGTGTTGCACCCGCGTCTCGCAAATGAAACGGCATTCTAAAAATGCTGTGCTTAAATTAAAAGTCAAACTTGCGTCTCATTACCTTGTTATTTCCCATTCCACCGCAAAAGATGCATCCTTTATGAACAGCCGCTTAGCACTAGCGATGTGTTCTACGTTACGGTCCTTCATTGAACGCGTCACAGGACAGCGGTTAATCGCCTCAGCAACTTCACGCATGAAGCGCCAAATCAGCCATTTCCTTAAACAGCGTATTCGATTCTGTATCGTCATTAGTGTTAACAGTTGTAAAGAGTTGGCTACCAAATTGAACAAAACAATATAACTGCAAAATTTGAATTTATGAATACGGTATCCTCGGTATCGCAAAATCCATATCATGGCACAACATAATACCGGTATTCACGTTCATACCGGTATAGCGCCCACCCCTAGGTGCCGGATGGATTACTTCTGTGAAGGATATATGCACATTTTGGGACTTGAAAGAGGTGGACCCCATTGCTTCACATTATATCCACTGAAGGGTCTAAGACATTTTCTAAAATAACTGAAAATGTGTTCGTCTGAAACAAGATTGACATATGCATCTCGAACGGCTTGAGGGTGAGTAATGCATGGTTTAAATATCATTTTTGGCCGAACTATCCCTTTAAGGTATTAACTTACTTTAGGTATTAAAATTAAAATTAGGTATTAACTAAGGTATTAGCTGTGTTGACTTCCGCGAATGATAAGCCTTTGCACTAATGAGTGCAAATCTATAGCATTTTACCGCAAAACAGAGAAATGGTACTTTACCCTATCTAATGATAAAAAATGCTGTTGGTGTGTGAACCAATCACAGACCAATATAAAACAAACAATGACGTTGTCAGGTGTCCTAGGAACGTAAAAAAGGGGAGTGGTTTTGAATAAATCCCGCGTCTTCCCAGACACAGCTTTTAATATTCGGTCTTTGGACACAACACATTTGTATTGCGTATTTGTTCTGGTCAGATTTCAAAGAAAATCTTTTCAAATAAAATCAACATGGCCAAACGAAGATTCACTGCCGAGCTAGCTGCTAAAATAATTTTTGCCGAGAGCAATGAGAGTGATAACGGATCTGATCCAGATCGATTTGATTCAGATGAAGAGGATCAAATTCTCGACGGAATCGATCCATTTGAGGAGTAAGTATGAATGAAATATTGCTGATAATATTGTCTAATATATATTGTATCGTTTTTTTTTTTTTTGTCAAATTATTTTATTGTAGCTTTTCAGAAATAACGGTGCATTAATCAAATAATGTGCGCCATTACTATTATTAAGTAGATTTAAAAATGCATGGGCCTTTCTCTGCTACATAAACGGTAGTACAGTACCCTATTGCTAAAATGAGATTGCAGTTTTGGAAAAATAACATTTTATTGTAATGTTTTTAGGGAAATTTTATTGTAGCTTTTTTTTAGAAATAATAGTGCAGTAAGCCTTATCTAAGGCCTGTACTATTTGTACAGTGGGGAGGGGGTTTGGTTTAGACATTGTATTTACTATATGCGTATAATACAATGATGAAGGCTCCAGTAATAATTTAGTAGTTCAATGGATCTTTACTTGATGTAAAAATACACAAATGATGAGGAATCACATTGTAATAAAGGCTGTACAACTTTTGATATGTGGGAATGTAAACTAATTACAAAATCTGTGTGTTTTAGTCTAAATCAGGAAACCCCAGAGCAGCTGAGTACATCATCTGCTGAACTCAGGACCCCGACGGCTCGCCCTCTTCCACACTCTTAAGCACTTTGGTTCACCTATCGGTTGATGTGAAATAAAATACATTTACATTTACACTGCTCCTCCTGCAGCCCGCACATCCAGGTCTCCTCCTGCAGCCCGCACATCCAGGTCTCCTCCTGCAGCCCGCACATCCAGGTCTCCTCCTGCAGCCCGCACATCCAGGTCTCCTCCTGCAGCCCGCACATCCAGGTCTCCTCCTGCAGCCCGGAGATCAATTTCTCCTCTTCGACCCCGGCTCCTCCAGCACTGCCACAAAGCCACCAAGAGGACAGTCTGCGACCCCTACCTTGAGGTCACGCCCATCACCTGGAACAAGGATGGAAGACAGAAAAGGATCCTGATGTGGCCCCCATTCCACAAAGATTTTGCCCCAGATTGGAACCTGGAGTGCAATTGGACACGTCTGTAGAGCAAAGCCCCCTCTGCCTTTTCAAGCACTTTTTTAGTGCTGATTCAATCAGGACATTGTGTGCCAACACAAACAAGCTGGCAGAGAGAAACATTGCTGCTGGGAAAAAGTACAAGTGGACCACCATCAACCCTGCAGAGATTTTCAAATGTATTGGATTAGTTTTGTACATGGGAGTTCTAAAGCTGCCAGCAGTAAATGACTATTGGAAGAGAAAAAAAAATGTCTGTGACTCCGAACACTGTCACGACACGGGATAGGTACCGTACCATATCTTGGAATATCCATATGAGTGACCCAGAGGAAGATGTAGTAAATGACAGAAAGAAGCAGACCCAGCCAGATGAGTATGACACACTCTTTCGTTTGAAGCCACTGATGACTGAGATAAAGGCCGTCTGTCAGTCTGCCTACCATCCCAGGAAGCAGCTTTCCATTGATGAGAGGATGGTGGCCACCAAGGCAAGAACTGGGATGACCTAGTACATATAATCCAAACCCACCAAGTGGGAAATAAAGCTGTTTGTGCTGGCAGACTCCAGCAATAGCTGTACCTGTAACTTCAACATAAACACATGTAAAAGCAGGTTGGCCTCTGGGCTAGGGCTCTCATTTGACTCTGGTGTAATTGATGAAGCCATATTTCCTAGGCAGTGGTTATTATCACTTCTACTGTGATATTTTCTACACCTGCTCAAAACTCTTTCAGGCACCTGCTGTCCCTCAAATTTGGAGCCCGTGGTACCATACTTGAAGGGAGGAAGGAGGCTAAAAAAAAAAAAAAAAAAAAAAAACATAAACTGACCAAGAAATCCCCCAGAGGATCTCTCAGGTGGATAAGAGAAGATAACCTTGTCTTCACCAAGTGGATGGACAACAGGGAGGTGGCAATGTGCAGCAGTGTCCATGTTGCTTGTGATGGGGACACTGTCAAGAGGAAGCAGAAAAATAGGGATGGATCCTGGGAGACAACAAACATACCAGTACAAAAACCTATTGTGGATTACAACATATACATGGGGGGAGTGGACTTATTAGACTAGCTGATACAGTACTACTCAGTTCATCACACAACCAGAAGAACTGGACATACACCTGTGCCAATCTCAAAACCAATTGCAAGGCTGAGGTGTGAGAAATGTAAGGCAGATGGGGTCCCAAGAAAGGACACTTCATGGAAATGTAATGAGTGTAATGTGCCAGTCTGCCTACAGCCAGAGCGTAACTGCTTTCACATGTGGCACAACATAAGTATAATGTTGAAAGACTGATGTGCAAATACAGTGCCATCTAGTGGTTGTTTTTAGATGTGTTTGATAAATTGAGACAGAATATTAAATTCAAAATTAACATTTATGTTCCCTTTACATTTTCTTATATGTATAGGCGGACATAAAACCCCTTAGACCTTAAAGGGGTTAAAACTTGTAGCACGAGCAAGGCTGATGTAAAGGAAAGGGTGCCTCTTCAAAAAGGCAGTAAACCAGTCACAGCCAGCTTGCTGCAGCTCTGACCAGAGCTGTGTCCCAATGTGAAGGCTGCATCCTCCAAAGGCCGTATTTGAAGGCCGCTTGGCCCTATTTGAAGGCCGATTGCGTCACAGCGGCGCGACGAAGGACGTCCCAATTCAAAGGCTGCACCCTCAGAAGGTCGCATTTGAAGGCCAATTGCGTCATCGCAGCGCGATGAAGGCTTTCCCAATTCAATTCTGTGTCCTCCAAAGGCCGTATTCGAAGGCCGGTTGCGTCATTGCGGCGCGACGAAGGCTACCTTGATTCAAAAGCGAGGCCAAATGCACCCTTCGTTTCCCCGTGAAAGAGAGGATACATAAATGGATCCTAAGTTGATCCTAAGCGGCCTATCCTACCCCATAAGTCATTGCGCTGATGACGACAGCATTTTTTTTTTTTTTTTAAAGGGCGGCCGAGAGTTCGGTGGTGGGCGGCAAATTAACATTTAAATGTAAAAGTATTATGTGGAAACGTGACAAATAAAAAAATAAATTTCTGTATATTTCTTTATTCATCATTTTTTATTATTTTATGCAACTTTAAATGTGTAAATAAAATAAAATTCATGGCTCTGGACATTGTTTATTTTTGTAATGGTATCTGAGTGTTTGCAAGGTTGATAGGCTACATTTAAACTATATACTTTCGTGTAGTTTAATGTAACAATGCGCAGTGTTGCTGACCTGTGAGGGAAAAAGTAGGCTACTTCACATTTGTACATGAATACTTAATGCAGTATGAAGTTCCTTACATTCCCCCACTGGTTATTTTGAAAATTAAAGTAACAAAATGTAGGTCTATTGTCAATATTAACAAATTGTTACTAATTTACATGTCCGGTCCCCTCAGATTTCTGATTGCTTAAAAAAAAAAAAAAAAAGACTTTAGGAGGCAAAATATTTTTTTTGTGATTATTTTTAATTTTTTTATTTAACCTTTATTTATCCAGGTAAACTGTTTGAGAACCACTTCTTATTTACAAACATGACCTGGCCAAGATGTGAATTACACTGCGCAAACCAGGCTATACCCACCGGATGAATAAGGGTTTGCTCTCAGTCTCCACAGTACATAAAATATTCATTTTATTTTATTTTTCGTGTTCGCATTTATGAGGAAAAAAAACAATGTTCCGGACGTGTTCTCCGTTATGGACGTGAGCGCTCTGAAAGCGGCACTAAAAGATCATCAAACAGAAAGCACAAAACCTTTCTTTAACCCGAATTTCGTTTTATATTAATTGTATCTTAATTTTAATCAATGTTTCATCAACCAATTGCCTGGATTTAATAAATAAGAAGTAAATATGAACTGGAGCTCGTCTCATAAATTAACCGAAACTCAGCATATAAGGTAGCCTACTTGCCTCACATGTATACTTTTAAACAGAACAATTCAAAACGAAAGAAAACAGACTACAGACTGCTCTCTGCCTATGTAATCCTTATGAAATGTGCATTTCTCTCTGGCACCTTCACTACTGAAGATCGCGAGTCAGCATCGTCAACTTCATCTTAGCCGACAAAGAAAACACTTGTTTATTAATAAACAATTACAATATCTCCTTGCTATATTTTACATATTCATAATCATACTTTTGCCGGTTCTTTGTGACAGCTTTTAGGTGCTTTATTGGCAGCGCCACCCTTACGTTACATGAGTCGCCACCGCATCACCGCACCCACCACCAGAATAGACCTGTATATAAAATTCTGGCTATATATATATATATGTTGCCCCCTCATTTAAAAACGGGACTCCCCAAAAATAAAATTCTGGCTACGCCCCTGCTCCCATGTCCTTCAGTAAAATATAAAACAAAAAAATGACAATAGCCAATTCTGGCTCCATAGCTGTTTACTCAATTATATCAAATGAATGATCAGGATGGCAGCTGTACTCTCGCACTGTTGCTTGGCACCTGGAGCGGTAATCGGGAACACCTGGTTGCGCAATTAGGAAATCCCACGAAGGCTACATGGTGCGTCCTTCGAAGGACGGATAGGCTGCATCCTTCGAAGTCCGCGACCTTCAAAGGATGCAGCCTTCACATTGGGACACAGCTCGAGTCTCAGGCACCTTGATGTTATATGACACAGCAAGCTAAGGCTTGATGATAGGCCTAAGTAAATGTCGGCTGACTTGGACAGATACTTAAACAGCTCCACTTCCAAATCTGGGGAAAATATTTGTCTGTTCCTGATGTAACCAACAGCTACACCTAGCTCTTTCTTTGCCGCTACACCTAGCTCTTTCTTTGCCTTAAATCTCATGCTGGCTGGTTTTGTGGCAGTATCTACTTAGTGTGTTGAATGGTATTTTTTAAGTCCTTTGCTGTGCTCCTAATACTTCTGTTTTGAGTCTTCACCTGTCTGGCTGCCTCTAGCATAATTTGTGCCAGTGTCTATCCCCTGTCTGTTGTTATTAAATATTTTCTGACCATTTTGACTTCTAAAAGAAAAGTATTTCATACATAAGTTTATGTTCATAAGAATTTAACATACAATTCCAATAAAAATGTAAAGCATTATTATATTTATAAACATACAACATATATGGCTATACATGTGCCAACCAACCCCCAAATCAGTGTGTCAACCAACCCCACCCACATTAGGACACATCTCTTTACTGAAATGATCTTAGCCACATAGCATCACTCATCAGAGACTTTTAAATTTCATATAAAAATATAGCTGATCCTATCTCAATCAATTGAAATTCTTACATTTTATATAACTCTATCATAGTTCTAAAATGTATTTAGTGGGGGAAACTTTTTTTTTGTTTTGACTCTGTAAAATAGAGACAGTTACTTTAGTGTTTTTAGTAAATGGGTGTGTTCAGGTCAAGAGGGCAGTCATTTTGAAAAGACCATGTTGAAAATAAACAACAAAGTAAGTTGATCCACATATGACAGCCTCTGAACTTGGTCAATACTAATCTTATATACAGGCAGGCACTGGACTAAAAAAGCATTCAATCAGCCATCTCTCCCTAAATGAATTCGGGTAGTGACGGGTCATGTTGTTAAAGGTCCCCTGACATGGGGTTATTTTATTATTGTATAATGTTTCCTGGGTTGCCCTTATAATGTTAGGATGTTTTTTAGATCAAAAATAGTCATAATTTAGAAATAAAAGGCATTTTTCCTAGCCTGATTTTAGCCTCTGATTTGAACGCTCTGTTTGAAGGGGCGCGTCTGCTGTGTGTAACCGGCCTCTGCTGTGATTGGCTGACATGCTTGCATATGAAATAGCTATAACATGTGAAACTCTCTCGAATACTTTTACTACAGCTATTATATGTTTTTACTATTACAGCTATCGAGATTAACGAATCGTGAGAAGTTTTTAAAGTATTTAGATCTATTCCCATCACATAAAATGTTGCCGTGATGAGCATTGAGCAGATGACAGTGTGTTGATCGCGAGAATGAAGATCTTATCATTGCAACGCAGTTTCTGCACTCTCTTTAATGCTTTCACCAATGCAAAGACGATGATGTACATACAGTAAGAGCTTTGTTGTGCAGTATAACGTGCGTCATTGATATCATAACGAGTTGTCCAGATAAACTCGCACTGTGTGGAAAGATTGTTCTTTGACCGCTTTCTGTATAATTTGTTCACAATTTAAATAAGATTATTTTCATCCTACTAAAAGAAACAATGTGAAGTTGATATTTTAGTCACTGGCTTGACTTACTGATGCATAAACCGTATTGAATGATTTTGAGAGAAAGATTACCTGTCTGAACTTGAACAATTAGGCTACACATCAGAAATTGTTGCTTGGTAGCTCGATCGATTTATTTTCAGACGTTCATCGAGTTGAGGAAACAGTCGTCGGTGAAATGTTTGGACCATACAAAACTTTGGGAAGTTGTGTCTGCGCATTTCCAGAGAAAATAAAATTAACCCATTGTTTCTTCAGAGGCTCGGATGAAGGAACTAAAAAATACTTTTGTGTTCATTTGTACATCCGAACACTGATCAACTGCCATGCTTCGCTCGTTTGCAAGTCATGATATCTCTCGAGGAAAAACTCAAATCGCGCTCGCGCGTTCGTACTTCCTAGCTCATTTTCTCATGGGCGAGCCAAATTCTCTGGGCGGGCAAAGCAGAGAAAGGGGAGGTAACCTTTCCTCCGTATGACGTCATAAGGAGGAGATTCAAGATCAGCTCGTCTGAGCTGCAGAGAAGAGAAAAATAGCCAAAGCTCGGTTTACACAGATTGAAATTTCTAGCCATTGGGGGACCATATACAGGCTAGGGGAACTCATATTAATGTTAAAAAACCTCAGAAAGTGAAAATTTCATGTCAGGGGACCTTTAATGCTACAAATTAATTACAACAATAAACGGAAATTTCATCATGAACAACAATATCACATTAGACCACAGTAATTCCAAAATGACATTTCCCTTACATTCAACTCCGAAAAGTGCATTAATCTTTGACACGTTACATTAATTTAGTTGACTAGTGCTATACGCTGTATTAACAACAACATTAAATGGCATTAATAAAAACGTAAATAATAATAAAAACATACTTTGCCATATTAAGAACACTGTAGAGAAGAAAGATTCACATAGTATAAATTTTATGTCACTTGTAGGCCTAAAAGATTTTTTTAAGATATTAATCGAGCTATCGATAGGTAAAGGAATAGCTATCAATAGCTCACAGTGACCTTGCTCAACAGGGATATGGGTTGAATAATGCCAGAGTTATGCTTAAAGTTTTAAACAATTAATAAAAGTCACATTCATTTTTAAGACAATTTGTTGAATTTGTTGTCTTGTGCATACCAGTCAGAATTAAATTTTTGGGGGCTCCCATCTTAAAATGAGGGGGCAACTAATATATATATATATATATATATATATAGCCTATATAATATATATATATATATATGTATAGCTTAACACCTATAAATAAAACAGCTTAACGCCTGCACACATTTAAAACAGTATATTGCGGTTCATCAATTGCAGACAAGTCATTGGGCATTGTGCCGATCTGTGTCGTGGAAGTCTCACACTACACTCCTGTGATGAAATAGGCCTATGCGTTTCTGTGTCCTGAGAAGCCTCAGGTGCCACTTCACTCGCTGTCGCCTCGTAGTAAGCTGAAGCAGACTCAGATGTAGATGGCACATTTTCTCCTTCACGCTCATCTTTCCATGCTTTTTTGAAAAAATGTAATGTTGTACTTTGCGCACCTGCCATTGTCACGGCATATTAATGAACTCTCAAGCGAAGATGATAGCATAGGTTACGCACAACACGTGACATAATCAAATCAAGTTTGAAAACAGCCAAATTTTACTGCGCTGCATTTTGATCGGTCAATCTATCAATTTCTTTTATTTTTTATTGATCAAACCTAGTAAAACAACACAGTAAGGCAGTAATTATATTCCTCCATCACCATGAAAGGTTTCTATGATCTGCAGCAACATATATATTTTCCGCTTTGCATTTACACTTTAAGACATCATTAGATTATGTGAAAAAATAATGATATTGTATAGCTAAACCTGACAACATTGGAAATGTAAATCTCCTGTGTTCACAGCAAGGTTGAACTCGGCACCAGGTGAAAGACAGACTGTTAACGGAGATCAGGAAAATTTCTTTGGATTCAAAAGTTTATGAAGTGCTTGTGCACCTCAGCCTAAAAACAGGTTTGAATATACAGTCTGAGGATTTTAGGTCCCTTTTTTTTCTACTTAAAGAAGCTTTGTAAATACAGGCCCTGTCCTGTCATACCAGTGCTTACAGTCCTAGTTATCATTGTCATCCTCATTATCACCATCATCATTGTATACTAGTGTCTGTATGCTTGACATGGGGAGGACGGCCTGACTCAAGTATGGGTTGTCTACAGGAACAATGTCTGTTACATGTGGGTGAAACATCACAGTGGCTTGATGTTGTTTTCTTTCCAGCTGTTGGAGGCGTTGGATGAGAGCAGCTTTTGCACCAGGCTGATCTGTGTCTTTGATGGCAGAGCACAGAAAGGCATGCTGCTGATGGAGGTGTTCAGTTACAGTTCTCATTTCCTGGTAAAGCATGTGCTTTTCCTCAGCTGCCCGAGTCTTCATATGTAAGGCATCAATCCCTCGCCTTTTTAGACTCCTTGAAATATTTTCTTCTTCAGTCTTGAAGACAAAAGAAATAAAAAGTGCTGTCATGTTACTGTTGTGGCAAAAATTCATCTCAAACAAACATCACTGCGTAAGAGACACTCAGAGTCAAATTATATAAAATAGAAGTATTTATTCTTGCAAGAATAGGAGCAGTCTAATACACAGTTGTTACCCTGTGCAGAAGAGTGACACACCCCCAGACAGACTGAACTAGCTTTTATCTTAGTTTCAAGGCCTTCTTCCCCCCAGAGCCTTCCTCCCAGTAGTTTTCCATAGACGTCACTAGTTGGCCCAATAAGCCCCCCTGCACCAAAATGGCCTTCTGACATCTAGGTCAGAGGTCCTTGTTCGTCTGTTCTCTGGAGTGCAGGGGCGGACTGGCCATCTGTGTGATCTGGAGAATCACAGAACGGCCGGTACTCCAGGACGGCCGGCGGGCCGGCCCACCACCCGCCACACACGCAGTCACAGACATACCAAGTCTCCCGGAAGTTCCGGGAGTCTCCCGCATATTGATAGCGGCTCCCTGATGCCCGCAAATTAGTTAAAATCTCCCGGAATCTAGAGCGAGTAAGAGCGCGCATGGCATAAATTGTTATTTACAGAGTGGAGCGAGCTAGAGACCTTGTGTGTGTGTGCTAGTGTGTGTGTGTGCCTCATGAAGCGCATACAAGGACCCAACCAGTGCGGGCTGGCTTTTATCTTTACTACTCCCGAACCGAATTAATCAGAAATTAATTAGCAAGTTACTTGCTAGGGATGATGTTAGGAAGTGATATTCAGCTTGCTACATTTTTAATGATTACAGTAGTTAAAACAGCTAAACTTCAACATTTTAGCTGTAAAATGCAACATGCAGTAGCTAATATTAAGAAATATGTTGTGCTTTTACTTTTAAAAATGTTTGTAACGTTACAGTTAATGCTTACAAACTTTGAAGATTTTTAATACAGAAGTTACATTTGTAATGGTGTAGGGCCAGCCTATTTTCATTTAGATGTGGTATTATTATTTGTGCAGTAGCTAAGATTAATTACTGCATAAATTAATTAAGATTATTAAGTAATAAATTCATTTTAAGACAGCATGGAATAGATTGTATAATATGCTGTTAGCTATAATTTGGATGGTAGTATCATGAGCCACAATTGAAGTCATGTGACAGGCGGCAGGCGTTATTGTTGTCGAGTTTCCGCGCGCCGATTTCTTTGGGCCGGGCCTAGTCAAAGTCCAGGGCCGTTTTTTAGTCCCAGTCCGTCCCTGCTGGAGTGTCTCCCTCTTCTGCCTCCCCAGGTACATAAACAGAATCTTCTCTCACTACAAGTGAGACACACATGTGACATTCTTTGAATCATCTATATTTTACTAAAGATCAATGAATATCATTAAAATTGCCACTACAACTCCTCACTTTTTATCATTCTGATTACCCATAATCACAATAATAAACAATAAAACAAATTTTAATTCATATCATCACACTTATACTCTTTATCTCTGATTTTTGCATAAATGATCACTCTCCTTGAACCTGTGAAGAAAAGTTTAGAATGAAGAAGCATAAGGCTGTTTTTGTGGGGGAAAGGCCCCGTAATATTTTAGCTAGCAAGGAAACATTTTTACGACGCCGGGCTAAGCGAGAAATCACTGTTCCTGCGCTCCTGTAAACAGACCCTCAGTCACGCCAGTAAGGAAAAAGGTAGTTATAACATAGTAAGGAAACAAACAGATAAAAGTATAATAAAAATCACTCAGTTTCAAACCCTATCTTTGTACGCCATCTCGTAACACGGATGACCGCTGCTTGTAACCTTCTTTAAATCTTTTGCCCTTAATCTTTCTCAGAAAATAAACAAATAGAAGAAAAACAAACAGAACATACATTTAACACATATCTCACTGTAGCTCCCGCTACCTGTATCGTCACATAATTTTGTTCATCCTTGGGATAGACTGTCATTTTCACCAATTGAACAGACAGCATGTTTCACCTGTCACTGTAATCATATTCAACCATGAATAACAAAATTATTAGAATAACAATCCTAACTCCTATCATTAAGCCTTTTCCATTAATCTACGCCCATCTCCATATTTCACCTCGGTTTTCCTAACCATATTTTGTTCACTTCTAATTCAATTTAGTAAGCTCTATTTAATGCCATATTTAACAAAATCTAACCAGAGAAGTCTTATAATTTTATCCATTCTTCCAACCAATGCAGTTGTTCAATATTAACTCTAATATTTCCATTACAGACACAATCAATATATTTTCTACATTTACAATCAAATCAATACCTAGTTTGATTCAATCAAACAAAATCATCACAAAAACAGATTCTTCTGTTAAACATTTACAATCAAATAAAATCCTCAAAATAATCACAAAACCACATTCTTAAACCATTAGTCGGTTCACATCCTCCTCCAGGCGTGTTGATCATCTCGTTCGCCCCATGGACTATGGGATGGTTGTGGCCTGTCGGTGTAGGTGAGAGGCTTGGACCCAGGTGTCACACTCTCCAACCATTTTCTGATCCTTATAAGGTTTTCCCTTATATCACGACCGCACCCCCACTGGAGTGAACTGTCATCTGTGAATGGAGACCTTAAGTATTTTGTTAGTGACCGCTTGTCTTGCCGCTCGTCCCCTTTGGTGTGACCTGTGGAATCAACAACCTGAAACATTATCTCCGGATAATTTCTTGCTCACTTAATAGCACTCGGGGTCCTTTTACCCTGAAAAACACTCAACCCACTTTGCTCATGTCCACACAATATTTATACATTTGGAACAGAATTAGTTCTGTTTGATCCAATCCATCCTGACATTCTGTAAAAGGAAAATTTTAAGTTATGCGCTGCGCAGGTGTAGCACCTTTCTGCCATACTAATAACCCAGGCCAGGACAGTTAGCCAAATTCATCCATAACCATTATTTTATTGGCACATTTTGCCCTGTCTCCCAATCCTGCATGCTCCCTGTAAAGAGAAACAAATTTCGAGGTTATTGTCAGATAGTAAAGTACGCAGTTTCTTTTGTCTACTGTTCTCCCGTGTCCTTCGATGCCCTGGCGTTTCCTGTTGAAACAATCTTTGTTATTGGTGTGTGCACACTCACAGACATCAATTTTGTTAGGCAGAAAAATGGCCCCTAGTGTTCTCCCAAAATGTATTCAGCAAATGTGAACCCCTTAATAAACCATATTTGGCAATTGTTATACCATCTCCCTCTTGATGCACGACACAACTCGAGCATCAATTTAACATAACATTTAACATAGTGTTTTTTATAAAGTTTGCCATCAACACTAACCCAAACGGCGTCCTTCAGCCAAATTTTGCCTCTGAAACAAAAATATTACATTCTTCACTTAAAGCCACAATCTCATCTTCTTCTCGAAGTATTTGAAAGGCAACGGCCCTCAGTCTCACAGCGAATCTTGCTTTTCAGGCCTGTTGTTTGGTCTCTCAAGTCAGTCATCTACAAACATTTCCAAAGTCATCAATTTTCCCTATCAGGTCAAGTCGTGCTGTACAGACTTGGTCAATGTCAGTCAATCATTTCTCCCCCTTTGTTCACAATAATCATAAATGTGAGAGGCTCTCTTGATAATTTCATGTTGACTTAGCCAATATGTCACTTTGTTGTTTCCCTCAAATCTACAACATTTTCATTTATCTCAGCCCATGCCAGATGGTGATCTACAACTACACAATTCCAATTTACTGATCTTCAAATCTACATTATGTATGACAAAATTATTACTACCAGACAGAGCTTGATGGCCAATCAACTTAAAGCTTGTCCCATGTTCTGTATTGTCTTTTCATCAGAATTATCAGCTCCTTTAAAATTTGTCATTTGCCTTACCCCATCTGTAATGATAAACTCATTCCAGAGGTTAATGACGCAATATACACACCATTCAGGCGGAATATTAGTGCCCCAAACTAATACATACAAGACATAAAGTGCTGTCACCATCACACGCACTCATATTAGACACACATATGTTAACTGTTCATTTTCAATATTCATTTTTCTTTATATTATTGCTAAAAGATTTAAATTTTAAATAAGATTTTAAACTTCCCATTTTCCGGTAGCTTCTACCTAATTTTACATGGTCTCCCAAACAGTTTCAAAGCATGTCTTGTTCATTATTCATTAGAATTTAACAAGGTCAGCTGGGTTGTTTTGTTTCATTATCATTATTTTGCTTCAGCTTGCTCTAGCAGGCCAATAACAGAAAGACAGACACAGTTACCATCCCTTCCTCCGCTCAAGCAGTCTCTCTCACTATAAACAAATAATTTTTTTTCACCAGCCTCCTAAGGCTGTAACTTAGTCAAAATTTGTATTCATTACAATAACCTTTGACCATTCACCTTTGTCATCCAGACTTTCCTTAAATCAAAAGCTGTCTTCATCTTTAGCCACCACCATGTCTAACGACCTTCAAGAGTTAAAACTATGTTATAACATATTAGTTCAAAATCAACACTATGATTTTCCTTGCCCATAAGGCAAACCAGTACATAAAAAGTTTTGCTACTGTCTCCACAACAACTAATGGGAATCACTTCATGGCCTCAGCTGGCTCCTGCTCGCCCACTCCTGTTAGCCCTTTATCTATAATCTCCATCAGGGTGTTTTCCCCTGGCATATTTGCAGACGCTTGTCACAATAAAAAAAAACAAGCCATACAATGAATGCGGTTTCTTCTGGCGAGTGGTAAATAGAGGAACTCACATTTTCTGGGTCAGACCGCCGTGACTGTTCCTCACAGCGCATCTCACCTCTCAATGCTCTGCTGACCCCGGTGGCCTCCAGTAATCAGCGCTCAACTCTCATACCTTTCTCACATATAACACCTCCATCCCGGAGGTGCCCAATGTTCGTGACCCCC